TCTTGTTTCATTAGATATGGCTTTCTCTATTTGTTTGCGACTATTAAATGACTTGAATGACTGGGATTGAGACACGGTCCACAGCGCTTCACTAATCTGGACGTTTTTTTCTGATATTTCCAGGATTATATGGAAACAAAACATTACTGTCAATTTCAGTTTTATTAAAATTAGCTTTCAGATGACTTTCTGTAGTAAACCTGTTTTGTTGTGATTCAAATCTGAAGCATTTTTTGCAATAACAAATAAATACATATTTAAAAGCCATGTGAGTTTGTTTTGACAAAGACAATGTTCTAAGCCGTCAACTTATGAGAAGGGTGATGTTTTGATATCGTTTGTCAGCCATGTACAAACTGACATTATTAGTGGGACGTCAATAGCAGAACTAAAAAAGTTTAAATTCCTTAATTGTCAAGCTCGACTCAAAGTAACTAGCAGCAGCCGCAGCAGCCGCAGCAGCCGCAGCAGCCGCAGCAGCAGCCTGGTTAATGAGATAGCACGTAGCTCCTGCAAACCGATCCGATTGTCAACTGCCACGGAGCCAGTGTGTCCTCTGGGTGAATCTTTCCTCTGTCAGATCGTATAGATCACTCACATATATCCTGCAGATCTAAATCATCAGCCTGTCACTGACAGTGATGTGTTGTGGCCAAATCCACACTCCGACTGACGCGCACCTCGGGCTGCAACCTTTTCATGTTGAATTAATGACTGGAGAATGACAAGATCCCAGGCGTGTGTTTCTAACATCACCAGTGTTTAGATTCTCAGTACATTCTGGAGCGATTTCACAAATAAGTTTGTCAAACAGACAGGCAGCAGCGTGAAGTGAGTGAAATGGCATGGACACCATTCATTTTGATTAATTACTCACTCAGTATTTGTCAAGACTTCCCTTTACCAACAGCACATCTGCACACACACACACACACACACACCTCTTTAAGGCCATGTGACTGCATTGTGAGGTGATTGCGTAAAACACTTGAACACTGAGGTTTGGATAAGTGCACGTCCCTATGAGTTTTTTCCTCATAGCAATTTGAATGAATGAATACTGATTAGAAACAGTGTAAGTGAGAACACACTGCAGTTGCCTCGGTATTTTCTCAGCAGTGATTGAAATTAACCATAAATACAATAGAAGTGGTATAAAAAATGAACTGCAAAAAAAAAACACTTTCTTTGGTAACGCCATTGAAATCAGTAAACCAATTTTAGGCAAGACATTTGCGAAACAATTTGCTCAAAATCTGGAGTTATTATAAGTCACATTGGAACAACGTCAAGTTTGACGTTGTACTGAAAAACCATACATCTGTTTGGGGTTAGCACCGGTGTTGAGGTGTCTATTGCGTCATTTCATGCTGCTTTTCTATTGGCCAATTAGTAGAGGTAGGTCACCTAAATTTCGGAAACCATTAGAATTTTGTCTCGGGCTATCTTTGGTCACAAGATGTTGACAACAACCATCCTTGAACCTGTCACACAGTGCGACAAAAGAACACCGTTTTTGAGCCACAACCAAAGATATATCCACGATTCTCCTACGATGGTCATGTTCCGTCTGGAACAGCTTAAATCGCACAGTGAATACCATCCATAATGACAAGAAGGTGGCTAAAGTTAGCAAATAGCTTAGACACCTTAATAGGTGGGGCCACAAAAGACCTGCCCATGTACCATGTTTGGCCCCAGGGCCAGGGTTTGGACACGGATCATATTACATTATTGTTTCTGGTATTCTGACCCCAGATTGCTGGAACCTTTCACGTCCTCTGTGATAATGAGTGCGTGCAGCAGGAAAGCTCTGACTCTTCTCAGCAGCGTCTTTGCGATCAGCAGCCTGGGTTTACTGGGCGTGGCCGTCAGCACCGACTACTGGTTGTACCTGGAGGAAGGCGTCATCACGCCGATGAACCAGAGCACAGACGTGAAGACCTCCCTGCACTCGGGCCTCTGGAGGGTCTGCTTCCTCGTTGGTCAGTAACAGCACTGAACATTCTAGAATTTAATGAATCAATCCGAGCATCAGTGTGGCAGCAGCATTAACGATGCTGTTGCACTAACATGTCATCAGTGCGTCAACAGATATGACACGTGACTTTGACAACATCTGTCTGATAGCACGTGTGTGTGTTATCTTGGTTTAGCTGTACTTGTGGGGACAAGTTTCTTTTGAGGACACCCTGACTTGGTGTGGACATTTTGATATTTTGAGGTTCAAGATTTATTGGTTGTTTTGAGCTCAAGATTAGGGTCACAAGTTAGCACACTACGTAAAAAATGCAAACCTGGACTTGAGTTAAGAGTAAAGCAACGCAATCGAGAGCTAATCTGACAACAACCCTGCAACGACTGCTCCATTAACTATTTCCACAGTAGTCACCCTCAGACTGCTCCGTTAACTATTTCCACAGTAGTCACCCTCACCAAAGTCTTGATTTATTGACTGCACCAGGCAACAGGAGACGTACTTGACCAACTTGTACGCGTTTGTGGCCAAGTGTTTCGTGCTTCGGCCTCTCTTTCAACTGCGCTGGAGCAGGGAAGTTGCACTCCCACCAGTCACAGAATTGGACTTTGGTGGACAAATGAACTTGAGAACAGTACAACAGCCTTGGTATGAGTGGACCCGTTCTTAAGCAGAGCCAGGCTAAATTGAGTCCATTGAAGGAGCCGCATGTGGCCCAAGAGCCACAGGTTGTAAACCCCTGGGCTAACAAAAACCACAGTGTAAAGTGTAGGGTCTTTGTGTGTATCTTAGAGGTCAAACCTTCCAGTCTTTATGTCAGTTCAATGTCACTGTGCCACAGCTTGGCCACTTGGTAAGGTATGAGTGTGAGTACGTCCTGTGATGGACAGGTGAATTTTCCAGGGTGTAGGTCTTGATTTAAAGAGGGAATTGACTGTGACTCCCTCAGCTAGTCCCACCGACCCTACGTCCAGGACTCTGTAAGCTGTAGAAGAGTGCGACATTGACATCGTAATAACACCGAAATAGTAGGACACAAATAATCTCGGAATGTCACCAAGCTAGTGATAGTTAATTATAAGCTAATGTCTGTGAAGAGTCAGTGTTGACACATTTCTCCATCACTCTCCTCTCCTCAGGTGAAGAGTCTGGGCGATGCTTCACCATCGAGTACGTCATGCCCATCAGTGTCCAGCTGACGTCAGAGTCCACAGTCAACCTGCTCAGTGAGTAATGACCTCAGAGATCCCACCTCTAGAAGCTGAAAACATCCTGTGAGATTGTTCACATTCACAGCTGAGGTATTCTTATCTTCACTCTTGTCATTTTTCGTGCCAGACGTTAACGTCTGAGTCATCGTTGTCGTCGCACCTCGACTCTGACTCTCAGGAATATTTATCACCTTCTAAAGAACGATTGACCTCGACTGCTTCAGTGCAGGATTGGAAGTAATCAGTTTTAAAGTTTTAATAAACACGACTGCTTTACATTCAGGCACAATTGCCCAGGTTGTTTTCCACTCTAGTATAATGACACTGTCATTAATACACTGGTTTAGTGTAACACAAATGCAGGGCAAATCGTAGAGGGTGTAAGGACTCTGAACTCTGGTGTAAAGTCTCAAGACTGAGGTGGAAAACAATGAGAGAATGTGGACATATATGTGTGAATACACTGTCGTCATTGTCATTGTGCAGCAGGGAAAGAACAGGAGGAAGAGTCTGTCATTAACTCAGCAAATCATAACTGAGGTTAACAACAAAAAAAAAAAACACAAAACAAAACAAAGGCTGATAAGGAGCTGAACTGAACTTAGTGGAATTCAACCGACACACAGAAAACCAAGACACACATTTGCACATGTAAAGAAAAGAAAAGAAACAAAACAAAATCCACCCCACCCCAGCAACCCAAACAGAGGTAAGTGTGAGAGTGGCTGTATTTATACACCAGGAGAGGGCGGAGCACAGGTGGAGCCCATCAGGTAATCAGTGTGGAGGGAAAACACAGGAGAAAGAGAACAGGTGAAAGACGTCAGGCTGATCACAGAGAAACACTGGGAGGGTGATGTGATCAATATTCTAGTTACTTTTCCATTAGTTTCTGGACCTGATTATTTTGTGTTTAATTTTAAAAAAAAAACTGAAGGCTGTGTCACATCCTGTTCAAAGGAACATTCAAGTTTACCACCAATTCAATGTTTGGAATTCTAGACTTCAGATTCCTGTATAAGTAGCTCACCTGTGGTTAAAGTGGCCACAAGAAAAGGAAACCCCTGAAAAAGGCCGGCCACAGTCAGGTCTCCAAAAGTTTGTAGCTATGTGTGTTTTAGAAGTGTTAGTAGTACTGCATGGTACTACATGATGTAAACGTTTGGTTTTCACAGGTTTTTAGTTCAGTGCCGGTTGCCTGTGAAGAGGAAGTGACGCTGCTGCTCCGATGTTTCTTTCCCTTCATGACAGTGAACTGTACATCTGTTTTACTTCTTCCTCTCCTCAGAGATGATCCGTTCAGCCACGCCCTTTCCTCTGGTCAGCCTCTTCTTCATGTTCATCGGTTTTGTTCTCAGCAACATCGGACATGTTCGGCCTCATCGCACCATCCTGGCCTTCGTGTCGGGAATCTTCTTCATCCTCTCAGGTACAAAGCTCAATCTCCGACTCTAATTTCCTCACGTGTTTCTCCTGTGACCTCCTCTGGTTCACGTGTTCCCTCAGGTCTGGCCCTGGTGGTGGGCCTGGTCCTCTACATATCCAGCATCAATGATGAGATGTTGAACAGGACCAAAAGCAGTGAAGCCTACTTCACCTATAAATACGGCTGGTCCTTCGCCTTTGCTGCGTTCTCCTTCCTGCTCACCGAGGTAAAAAAAAAATCTCCTTGGCAAAAGATTACCTTTGTTGTTTGTAGGCATACACATAATCATCAAATTTTATAATTAATATAAATATATGTTAATACATATGTTAAACACGTAAATCTAAAAACATTTCTTTTTAGTTTTTTTTTTTACTTTTTTTTCTAAATATCAAACCTTGATCATTCGTTTATGTCACACAAATGATTAACTCAATTTTGTTGACAAAATTATATTTAGGCACACTATTGGTAAAGTGCTGCCCCCTTGTGGTAGTCTGACGGAAAATCAAGACAACTTAAACTTCCTTTTCAAAAGAGTGAAGGCAGAACCCATCTTTGAGTACACAAGAAAAATAAAACCTTTCAGCAATAATTTTGTTTAGTTTTGTTATTGCTTAAGGTTGAACACAAAACAGCATCAGAAAAAGATACTGTATATTCAGAGAGTTGAGGTGAAGGTGGTTTGGATATCTACTGATGGAGATATCTGTGTTGAACCCTGGTGGAGATACATCACCAGATAGGAGGAGGTGTCAGGTCAAATCATCTCTGCTCCATGCTGACCTCTGGAGGTACCACAGTAGAGATAAACCTCACCTCCTGTCTCCTTCTTCACGGCAGAGTGCAGGTGTCATGTCCGTCTACCTGTTCATGAAACGTTACTCAGCCGAGGAGATGTACCAACCCAACCATCCCAGTTTCTACCACCCACGTCTCAGCAACTGCTCCGACCACTCGGGCCAGTTCCTCCACCCTGACGCCTGGTCTCGTGGACGCAGCCCCTCAGACATCTCCAGTGAGGCTTCTCTGCAGATGAGCAGCAGCTATCCTGCCCTCCTCAAATGTCCCGACTACGATCAGGTGTCCTCGTCACCCTGCTGAGGTTTCAGCTGTCACAACACTACAGCCCTGGTTCACCCTCACCCTAACAGTCAGAAAGACTGGGAAAAAAACAGGGTTTTCACTGAAGAACTGCAGAATCACTGGAAACACGGATACTTAGAAATACTGGAAAAGTAAGGTCTGCAACACAGTTTAGTTTTTAGAAAATGGTGCATTTTTATCTGAATGGAGGAAAATCTTTAAACATGTCAGTGAGGAAAGAAAAAAAAAATCTGTGAAGTTTCCTCACACATAAAAAAACTTAATGAAAATAAAACTGATCAGCATTCACAAGTGAATCCAGTAAAGTATGTAAATATCAGTTTCACATTTCAGTGCCTCATACAATATATGTTTCTTTATGTGGATAAAAGTAAAAAGTAGTTACAACATTGTTGTGTGATCTAGTTGGAAAACAATATCTGAACTAGGTAGAGGTCTAATGACACAAGAATGATGTTTAGAAATGATCATGTTTATTTCCTTTTATTCAAGATGATATTGGTGGATTAAACACATTTTTAATAAACTCAGACGTGACAACAGAGAGAGTTTGTTTTGTTTTTTTGTTTTTTTTTTAGAGATAATGATCTTGATTACTGTAATTAATTTAAAGTTTCAGTCACAGAATTAAAAAACATAAGTTAAATTCATGTAAGTCATTTACGTGCCAGTAGATGGCGCCCTTCCCTTACCTGTCGTTATATTTTTTTGATTTGTGACTCATTAAGGTTATTTTACATCTTTACGGTATAAATCATCATATGTACTGTATGTATGTATATATGTATGTATATATATATATATATATTCATTATACCGTAATGTACTTGTAAACACACCACACATGTTCTGTCCTCTTAATGCAGATTAACATTTATTGTACAGCGCAACCAATAGATTTAACAGAGAATATAAAAGTTATAACATAACTATCTGCCCACGCGGGGCATTAGAAGATAATCATCTGCCCTGGAGGCTTTTATTTTATTGTACAATCACATAGAAAACTACTATTACAATAATTATCCTTCAATTTGAACATCATCCTCACTCAAATCTAAATCATGATATAATAAATAAAAGCATCTTTTTCACCCATGGTTTTCATGGCTTTTTAACAGTATCATCAAATGTACTGTCGAGATATAAATTCATTTAAGGCGAAACCTTCTCTGAACCTCAGCCCGGCCAAATAATTAGGTACGGGGAGTGCATATGACAAACAGAGCAGAAACATCTGTACATCTGTGTGTGTATATATATATATTTATATATATATATATACTGTACATATATAAGTTAATCCAACGCTACATGAGTCTAACATTTACAGGGAGCACGGAAAACATCTCACAAGGTCAGAAATAAATACAAATTAAAGGTTAATTGCTATGTAGAGATTACACAAACGCAGGCAAGTATAGGTAGAATCTTTGGGGGGGTTGGAGGGGTCGGGGGGTGTAATTACAAACCAAATGCAAACAGGCAACTGACAACACGTGGACCTTCACTCACACGGGCCACAGATGGAAAAGCTTAATTAGACTGGTAACCTGCAGGGAATAAAACGGAGTCTAAGACTTCATCAAGTGAAGGCCGTGAGTTTATATTTTAATGACATCGAACCTCCTTCGGTTTGATGTCATTAAAATATGGTGTGATGTCATAGAATGTAACCTGCCTACATTCTATAACCACCTCTTTAATATAATGTGATGATGGGAATGAGAGGGAACCTTTGATGCAGTCAAGTACAGTCACTACCAAAGGGTTAGCATGACATCATACACTGTTGTGTATGATCTCACTGTGACTCAACCTTCACCATAAATCATTCAACATCATTTACAACATGACATAATGAACGATGTAAACAGTCGTGCATTAAGTCTGACGCCATTCTATTGTCGTCACCTGTAAAAATAAAAACACTTCAGTTGAATGGACTAGAAATCCTTCAGGACAGAATGGCAGGTTCAGCTGCACAAGGTCCCCGTCAGCACTGGTTGAAATGTAGCCCCCAACCATGACAGAGCCCTGACTTTGATTTACTGCTGACATACAGCTTGGCATTCAAACCAAAATATCAACTTTTTGTCATCAGGACTCAACACTAATTTCCAGCAACTAGAGTTTTGAAGTGGGTTTGAAAATGTTTTCCATTTTCCTTAGGTGGAATATTCACATAGACTTATTATTATATGTGTACATGCCTAAGACTTATGCAATTTATACTCAACACATCCGTCCTGATTCCTTCATTTTAGTTTAAAAAAAAGTTTCCGTTGAAGCAGAACAAAAGACACTTCCTGTACAGGCTGGTACAGACCAGCTACCAAACTGCATATATAACACAAGGAAAGGAAAAGATCATTTTTCTATGTCATCAAATTCAATCAACCCTTGACGATTACAACTTCAAACGTTGACCTTTAAGTCACAAAAGCAAAGATAAAAAATAAAGTATGTACACTGTGAAAAATCTCTGTTTGAAACAAACAAATGAAATCAGGCCAGCTGAGTGGAGACCGTCCACGCGTCAGGAGGAACCTAAAAGTGTTTCAGTACTGTTTTCTGAGGTTATTGTGAGCAGAGCTTCATGGAGAGAAGAATTCAGCACCGGAGTGAGATGATCAAGTGAGGTTGTACTGAAAAGACGTACTTTCCACATCCATCCAGAGTGGTCAGTGTTCCTCTGTTCATTTCCCCCTAATACCTAACATGCACACACATGCCTCCTAAAGATGGCAGATGTACTTTAGAGAGACCTAGAAACATGTAATGACCATGAGGGGGAGGTAGGGGAGTGTGTACGTATGAGATGGAGGAGAGAAAACTGATTGAATTTCATTTGCTGCTCCTCATAAGTCCTTAACTGAGGAGTTTTTCCATCACCTCAGTGCTGCCTGATGTCCAATTCCCTCCCAGTGCACAGACTTGTGAACAATTCAGGAAAAAAAAGTAAACTTGGTTTGTATTCAATAATAAAAAAAACGCTCCAGGTTCAAAGTAACATCTGTGGTCAGTCAGCTGTGCAGGAGCGTCAGTGTTCATGATTGTGGAGGAATCGACGAGGAGCTGGAGGTGGGTTAGATGATGCTGCTCCTTCTCCTTCTTCACTTCACTTCTTGTTAGCAATGCGTCTCTTCCTGGTGGCCAGCATGTCGTAGAAGGGGTCTCTGCTGATGCTGGCCCTGGAGAAGAAGCCAATCAAAGGGCATGGAATAAATAATGTCAGAGGAGAGTCTCCAGCAGCTTTGAAATGGAAATGTGGACACAGTTATGCAAAGCCCTGCCCTAACTAGATCAAAAAAGGAAGAGAAAAAAAAAGTTGGTGCAATGACCCAGTTTGGTTTCCATGGTTTTTGAGGAGAAACATCGCCCTCGACCCCCCACCCACCAATGTAAACCCTGGTTTGATGGAACAACTCCATCATGATCTCCTTTACCATTGAGCCAAACACAGTTTGATGCTAAAGAAACCTCCACAATGTTCTATTCTGGGTTCTATAGAAAAACAAAAAATGGTGGCCAAGATTATTGACGCCTATAGATTCTCCTACAACAGTGGGTGAGTGATTCAGTCATGAAGCCATCGGAGCTCCATGAAGGAGCTCAGTTTCACGGCTGCTAAATCCTGTTAGCATTAAAAAGAGGAAGAGGCTCAAAACCCCCCACTGTGGAAATCTCTGATTCTCTTTACTGCAGAACAACAACGCTCAAGGTAAAGAATTCATATGTTGACGATGGCCATTGGTTTCTTACACATGGTTCATCGTCGTATTATATAAACATCACTACTTAAAACCATTACCATTCCTGATTATTACTGTTGACGTAGCCAAGTTTTTGACTAAATTATAACTTACTTAGTATTAGTAATTTTTTAACTATTAGTAACTTATTTATCCCGAATTTCCTCAAATAAAACAGTTCAGTTTAGTTCAATTTGAGGAAAAAGGAAGGAAATATGTACACATATATACATATACATATACATATATACTGTATATATATAGATACGTATATATAAATATATACATATATATAAATATACATATACATATATGCATATATATACACATATATACAGAATATATGTGTGTGTGTACGAATGTACGAATGTACTGTTTTTTTGCATTGAATTTCCATAAAAAGCCTTTCATTCCACTCGACCTCCAGTCTTCCAGTAAATGTCCTCCAGTGCCTACAAACGCAGCCTCCTCTCCTGGATACTTTTTCTGGGGTTTTACAGGCTCAGTCCTGTGGTGCTGTAGGCAGTGACTAATCCCACATCATTTCCCCAGTGAGTACAGTATAGTGTGTACGCAGAGAAGGAGGAGGGTAGGGTCGGGGGTGAGGGTGGGGGGGTATTCATATACGGTTTATACGTGTGCGCTGTTCTGCTGAGCTAAAACTTTGATGACATTGTACCATCTTTACTGCAGCTGAACACACACACACACACACATGTAGGTCACTGACGTTACACTTAACACTAATGAAGGAGCAGCTCGCTGGAATTTATATTCCATTATGGCTGTTATAAAGTGAAGTTGTTTAAATGACCTATTTTACTTACGGTACTGTGTTTCAACGGTATCTGGTGGTTTGTTCAAGGTGACGATCATTTAAAGGTTAAATCACTAAAGTTGACATACGTACAGTGTGTAAATGCCCATGCATGAGCTTCAGTCAAAGAAACGGGGAAAAAATGATGTATTTTCCCTAGGAAGAAACTAATCTTTCTGTTTGGCTCAGTAAGTAAATGGGAAATACATTTTTATAAAAATCTCTTAACTACAAAACTGCAGCAGTAACTGATGGGTATGCTAGCAGTATTGGCTATCTTAGCATACGCCACAGACAAAAAGTGATGTTTTTTTGTGGAGACTTACTTAATGGATTTAATCCACTCTTCTTTCTCCTCTGGTGTAGGAGCTGATATCCTGTAGACCACGTGGTTTCCCTCGACAACTCGTCCGTCGGCCTCCGTCTTGCAGGCTTTAATCACCTGGCCTTTATGGTTGGGGTTGTACAGCTCAAAACAGTTCTGCAGACAGGGAGGAGAAGAGGACGTGAATGATGGGGGCAGCACGTACATTAACTTTGACTTCAGAAAGTGTAGACACTGAGTGAAAGAGAGAGAAAAGTGAAGTGATGTGAGGCAGAGGTCTCTAATGAGGCAACACTCACAGGTTTCCTGGGCTCCTCCACCTCCCTGATGCTGAGATTCTCCAGAGGAATGATCCCTCGGGGCTCCTTGTCCTGGAGGGGAGTAAACAGGAGAAGAGGAAAAACACCAGTTTAGCACAGCTAAGGCGACATGACTGACTGACATGACTGAGAAGTTATAACACTCACAAACAATAAAGAAGACGGCATCAAAGGAGAAGCCGAGGCGGAGAAAAAGTGTCAAGACGAATAAAGAGGTCGTACGCACAAAAAGACAAGGGGTTAACGCCCCCCCCCCCCCCCCCCCCCGTCATACCCTACTATCATTTATATCATGGTTGTTCCTCCTTTCTTTTCATCCTCCTGAACAGTACAGTCAGAGCAGAACACAGGAAATAATAACAGTGTCCTCCAGGATAACATCAGGGGAGAGGACAGTGCTGATGCAGCGGCTCACAGGGACACAGAAGAACAGCTGATAAAATCGAGGAGCACGCACTGATAAAAATAGTTCCAGACTAACCAGAACAAATCAACAGACCTTCCCTGGGTGACTTACTGTTGTGTATTCAAAGTAGTAGAGACAGTTGTCGGTCAGAATGAACCACCTCCTCTTCCAGGTTTTTACTCGACCCCCTGTCAAAAAAACAAAACAGAAATAGTAATAATAATTATACACAATTGACCATAAAATACTACTAGAGACTAAAGCAAAGATTTGTCATCAAAGGTACTGCACTTTAATGGTTTTAGTCATACATGGAAGAATCAGGCGTAATTATATTTAGGTTTAAACAATTAACCTTTAACTTAAACTATTACTCAACATAGCCACTAGTTTCAAAGCTAGGAACTCTTTTTTTGTTCAGAATATCTATATATGTCTACATTTGTGCCTATGAGGCAAATGATTAGATCATAAAACATGCACTGAATCAACAAATACATTTGATGAAGTAAAAAATACTTTTGCTGGGAATACAAAATAATTTGAACAGCTATATAAATGTGTAAGAATTTGTAGGTTTTTGCTTTACAATATTTTTTATTATTTTCTCAAAAACTAAGTTAGATTTTTTCAAAAAAAATTGACATTTTGAAAAATCTTTTTTTTTTTTTTTACTAATGTCATAAACCCAAACTTTTAATGTGTAAAAGAACAACGAGACTAAGAAAAGATGTTGTAAAACAGATGTGCTCATTATATCTGTCAACAGTGACCTCGGTTAACTGTGACTGTGCCTGTTCTTTTTTAAGGTATAACAGTTCACTCTGTTAGACTCTCAGAAGTGGAGCGCAAACAGTTCTTGATATGAACCAAAGATGGCACCGAGAGCACCAGTGAAGAAACACAGGCACCGGTGTGTGTGCAGAGATATCCCACACACAACAAACCCTAAAGAAAGGTCATCACCTCACGCTTTCACTCGCACAAACTGTCCACAAAAGTACAAACAAAGTGAGTGCAAACATGCCATGTGTTGGTCTGATGTAGAATCAAGCCTCCTCCCCTCCCCCCCCCCGGTGGGAGACACGTGCATGAAAGGACAACTGTGGACAAAGGTCCTGAAAAACAATATATCAAAACACAGAGCCTGCACGGACATCTTAAAAGAATCTGTGTGTGTGTGTGTGTCGCGACGTCTTGTTTTGACCTAACATTCCTTGTTTAGTTCCTCTCTTTTATGAGCATCACTCCAGGTCGAAATGCATTTCACTGAAGCTTTTCCTTCCTCTTTTCGTGGCGCCACTCGACCCACGTTGGACAACGACATAATTAGAAGATTTCCGGGGTTTCCTTATATTTAGCCATTAGGCTAGCGTGGCTACATTTAGACACAACACAGGGAGAGATGTCCTTAAAATGCATTCATTCCTCGACATCCTCTGGCGTTTATTTTTAGAGAGTAACATTAAAAATACCACAGTGATAACTGCTGTGGGACCTGGACTAAAATGTGATCATGTAAAGTCTGGGAGCCACAATGGAGCTATTTTCATTCACACTCACTACATAATGACGTGGCAGGGGAATAATTCACAGGTCAAAGCCAGGTATCTGTGTGTTTGTACTTAATGTAGCACTAAAAATAATTTGTCTCCTGTTGACTACACACTGAACGCATCAAACTAAACATTTACTTTGTTTTTACCAGCAGAGGTATTAGCTTTTTAAGAGGCAGTTTTACTGTTTACCAAGGGCATTTTTACATCATTTCACAAGGCTTGTAGGAACATTTTATAATTATCATGTTAGCTCTCATTTAGCTTAGCTTATAGTCTGTTGAAAACCAGGAGCGCCCCTTTCTTTTCCTTAAAATAAATATTTAGTAGAAGACTAATAAATGAATTAATAAACAACTTTACATTATTTACAGCATTGTTTTCATTTTTTTCTGGGTTTATAATTGTTATCCTTAAGCTAGCTGTTCAGCTTATGTTAGTTTTCATGGACGATTTGCTTAGATAATGTTCATATTACAAAAACAATTATTACCTGTCACAGGGAAAAACTTTATAGCAGCAAACTCAAAGGTCTAACTGCAGAGTGTCAGGTGAAGACAGTGTGTGGTACGTGGTGTGAACTGTGAAGTTGTGCAAATCAAAAACATGTGTTGACAAACAGAAACATGAGGAGAAACAGGACCAGAAACTGAACTGAATGACCTCACACACACACACACACACACACACACACACACACACACACACACACAAGTTACACAATAAATGTTTAATTACACCACACAGTTGAGTTTTACACCCACGTCTGGGAGCAGATGTGCAAACAATGCAAACCAAATAAATCCGATGTTATTATCCCGTTGATAATAACAAAAGTGTGAGAACTATTAGCTAAAAAAAAAAAGTGAGGTAGAAAAATGTCACATAAAATCACATGTTTTATGTTTGTGAGATTTAGAAAATGTGGTTAACATCACACTTATTCTGGACCCTTTTGGTCACTTTTTTCTATGTTTTTTTGCCCTCAATTAACTCACAAATATCTTTCTATTTTTTTCACTTATCAACTAATCAGATAATATCAATCAATGTGACCTTGAACATATAACAATAACCTTGAACAATAACCTGTTGTTTTGTTTGATTTAATCAATGTTTTTTTTTTACTTTTTCTGTGAATAACAGGAAGAAGAGTAAAGACACTGCTGTAGATAATAACCTCGTAATGAATTTAAAGTCTACAGGCTGATTACACCGTGTCAATTAAAGGTGCATTCGTGACAGTACAAAACAAAACATAAATCCAATTTAAGATTCTTAACACTATTGGATCCAGAGCAGAACCCTGTGTGAGCGCTGGCCTCAGCCTGAGTTCTGCAATTAAAGTTCTCGTGCCACTGAGAAAAACAGACCACTGTTGTAAAGACAAAATTGCGAGTTTAACCAAATAAAGACAAATGAGTGCAGGATGTACGGCTTCTTTTTACCATGGGAATGTACACGCACGCACGCACACACACTAACCTAATTTCAGCAGCCAGCCTTCTCTATCTGGGTTGAAGAACGTGTGCGTCAGGTCATTCCCATCATCCTCTGGGATCTTGAAGGGTTCACTCTTGATGCTGTCGTACAGATTCTATAGAGTAAAAAAAAATCTTATTGGCCGTTCCTTTGCACGAACAGTGAATGCAACACAACACTGACAGGTTCTACTAAAGTAGACAGATCATACTAACTAATCATGATTTATTAACCATGTTGTGTGTTTCACACCCAATAGTGACAAACTACTTCCTGTCCTCTTCCTACTGTTTAAAACTGAATCCAAACTGATTTGACACGTGTTTTACTAACATAATCTGCTAATGTTGTGCTACAGCGCACGCATTAGTCAGAGCTAATCAACAAATGGCTTCACGGCGCTCACCCTGAGTAGCTCCTCTGGGAGGTCCCCCCCCTCATTGATGCCTCTGTTCATGGAGATGAAACGCTCCACGGGGGGCTTGTCCCTGACATTGGGATTGTGTAGACTGGTGTTCAGCATGATGATGGCAAATGACAAGACGTAGCAGGTGTCTGTGGGAGAAATTATACACAGGGTGAGTGGAAAACCAGAAAGAATGTTTGTCCACCTATCATTTTTTTCCACTGCTTGGAATATAGGACCATGGAATGTACTTTTTTTTTTTAAATTTCTTTATGGTTTAAAATTTGTTCAAGATTTAAGAAGATTATTTTAAAAGCAGATATTTCTGTTTTGTGATCTTTGTTGTCTGGTCTCTTGCAATAAACACAGATCAGATTGATGATCAATTAATTCACCAATTAAAAAAATCTAAAAAAAAAAAGTGTGCAGCCGTAAAATCAATGAATATTTAAAATATAAATAATTAAATGTGAAAGTTACAGTTACACAGATACTCTACAAATGAAAAAGTGTGATTGACCACACACACGTGTCCTCCTGGGGAACGTCCTCCCCCTCGTCCATCCACTCACTAACTGCTGCTGTCATCGGCCTCTGTGCTGTGATGTATGAGCGTCAGTGTTACACATGTGAGAGATGACCGGTACCTGACGTCTGGGTGTGTCTCCACTGCACCACATCAATATTCATGGCCCTGGCTGTCAACCGTCCACTCGGCTAACACAGAAGCAGCAGAGCTGTGGGCCGAGACTGCACTAATGACCTCTATTGACCACCGATCGATATCATTATCGCGGCTGGAGACATGAATGCTGATTACAGTGTGATTATTGGCCCAGCTACCAGGTTCTGAGGGAAGTGGGCCGTTGGCCAAGTAAAGGAAATAAAACAATTTCTCTGACTTTATAGCGGAGTATATTTCTTCTAAATCATTGGCTACAAGGTTGGGTTTTTTTTCTTTAACAAGTTCATCTGTCTTATGAGGAAAGACAGACAGTCAGAGGCATTGATCTGGGTCTGGGTTGGTCTGGCCAGCCAGCATAATCTGTTTTGGACTCAGTCTGACTCTCAAAGCTGCTTCTGTGTGTGTGTGTGTGTGTGTGTGTGTTTGCACAGTACCTGTGGACTGGAAGACGCCAGGATTGCATTGGCAGTACCTGGAGGCGAACGCCTCCATCATACGATCAATCTTCTGGGCTTCACCCGGGAGTCTGAAGCTCCACAGAAACTGCCTGCGACAGCATCAGGAAGGACAATCATTTACTGACACGCAGTGTAAATATCGACGCACATACAGTACATGGATGTTCACTGTAAATAACAAACGCACAATGCAGTAACTGTGAGAGCCTGTAGAATAAATTAATTCTGCTGCCTGCGTCTTGGTTTAAAAAACACAAATACTTTGAAGTAATGACACTGAGAAGCAGCTGTTGGTGTTTTTTTTCCCCCTATCGTGAACAGGAAATGGATCAATCAGCTGAGATAACGTGCAGATTGATCAACAAGAAGAAGATTTTTCACTGACTCTTCTATAATCCGTCAATCGTTAGAGTGGTGTCAGCAACCTTTAGACGTGGAAAACATTTCAGAAACTGTGAGAACAATGTATTTACAGTTTTTAAAAGTAAAAAGGCAGCGGCTGAGCCATATTCTGACAACCTTTACAAATGAAACTTTACATTTAAAGGAACAAACAACTTTTTAGCCACAAATTATATGCTGTAATCAAGTGAAAAAAAAATGCAAATTACTGGTTTAATTGTAACCTTAGCAGCTTTTAAAAGGGAAACTAAGTGGAATAAAAGCTGTCGAAAACAAAGCTTGTAATTCAAACCTTTGAGCACATTTAGCAGCAGAGCTGACCTTTCATCCATGGACTGTATACAATCAAGGTTTTTATTTTAATGGGGATAAATGGATTTATGGACCAAAGTCCATCAAATATCATTCATAAATGAAAACTGAACAGATTTTCTAGGTTATTATTCTCTCTCTTCACTCTCCAGATCAAGGCTGATTCAGTTCATCCAACAGTTTAAGATCTCACGTATAAGAGTCCAGTCTGCATTCCAGGAAAATCCAGGATAACTGTGTTGTTGTTGTTTGGATAACTTGGAACGCACAGTTCCAGAAGTCAAGGTAATTATCTGTTACGCACAGTTCCAGAAGTCAAGGTAATTTTCCAAAGGCTCACAGTTAGTGCTTCACAGAGTTTTGGTGGTGGTAACGTAAAACACCTTGAGAACAAATGTCACAGACTTGCGTCTCTCTTCAGTCTTTTCACTCACCTTAAAGCTTGCACAAGATTGAGGTCTGCAAACTCGTGGAGCTCCACAAAAGCCTGAAGAACCTTGATGTTGAAGTCGTCGCTGTAGGAGACAACAGGACATATTTACCTACGGAAACAGACTCTGTATTTCTAGTTCTATGGGAATATTAAACTTCAGGGTGAAGTTGGAAACTGGGCGCCTGCAGCCTGACAGCTCCTGCTGTGTGATGACACAGACAGCTGGAGATCCCTGACGTTTGGACAGACCATTCCATTGACTGTGCTTTGATAAGAACCACATGTTCACCCAGTTAGTTCTCTCGTTGCTGCTCTTCTTTATGAATCCAGACTAACAGTTAACTCAGGCTGTTTGGTAGAAAACAGAGGGAAAACCAGAGAGCTCACCGTTCCCCCAAGTAGTCCCCGATGACCGTTTTGTTGAGCCCCTCTCCTTTGTAGAGGAACTGTGCAATGTCTTCTGGGGTGTTCTGGAGAAGATCGTTCTCCAGAAGAAACTGGATCCCCTGTTTAATCAGAGAGAGCATATATGAACTGATGTGGGCCGATCAGGTCACAAGTCGACCATTAAATCTTTGCACAGTGGTGGAGTAAATCAGTTCAGATCGTGTTCTGACCTTTTTGGGGTCCATGTTGAATTTCTTTCTTCCCATGGCGACTTGTTTGTTTCTTTGTGAGGCTTTGCTGCAATTAAAAAAACCCAACAGGAACATCCATCATGTGACGGTTAAGGGTGTGGTCTTTTCCCCAGGCTGCCATGTTTGTTCAGTAGGTCACTGTGTGACGGCCTAATTCAAAACGTGACACGGGGGTGTTTGTTTTCTGCTCAGTGGTGAATGTACAGAGAGATTAGACTGAAACAACAGGGAGCAGGAAACAAGCTCCGCAACGATCCACAAACTATTTTTTTGTCTTAATAAACAAACATAAATGCGTATTCTCACTCTAATCTGACTCTAATTTTAATCCTAATTTTCCAAACTAAATTCTGACCTGGACTCAGTCCAACAATCCAGTCCAACAAACACTGTTGACTAATATTTGGTTAAGGTACTGTCCCACTGTCCTACTTCTTTCCTCAAACAAAAAAGATCAACATTTGACAGGTGTGAGGTTTACAACAGATACACTCATAGCTGTGAAGGGAATACAGTATAAAAGCCATACAATGTCAGGTGGTTGGCCAGTAATTTGAACTGGTCTTGAGAACTAATACCGTATTTTCCTGACTATAAGTAAGTCGCACTAGCAAAAAAATGCATAACGAAGAAGAAAAAAACATATATAAGTCACTCCTGAGTATGAGTTGCACCAGTGCCCTCTAGCGGCTGTCGGTATGAAAAAAACTAACGTGAAATTATATATTTTAATATTAACAAAAACAAAAATCAACAGTGTAATTTGAAGAGCAAATGAATTAAATTCCTCAATTTGAAAAAAATGGAGAGATCTGCTCAATACTTTTGGGACACACTGGACACGGTTTGACAGTGAATTTTATTCCACACCCACCTCTCCCCCACACAGGTCAGCTGCTCGATCTCAGTCATCACCTCTGCGATCTCAAACTTCAGCCGCTGCGGAAACAAACATTTAAAGTCTCTTATTCTCTGTTCAGTGATTAGTGTTTCATTACAGCTAATAAGAACACACAGCAGGGCATTCAGCTGCAGCTGGAACAAAAAAAGAAAGAAAAAAAAACAATGACCCAACGCCACCGTTGCATAACATTTAAAAGTCTACTGTGCAGAGTTTAGATCGAATTGGTTTACTTTCCATTTCCAGGGCCAGGAATGGAATATGATATAAATTTAATGAGGCTTTTTATAAGAGATGACTCACCTGAAACTGAATGAACTGTTGTTATTATTTCATTAAAATGAGGCCTTTTTTTAAAGAAAAGGTTTTCTTACAAAGACTTGCCTTATATAAAGTAAAAAAAGTGTTGTTTTTTTTTCTTTTTTTATAAAAGATCACTTTGTCCAAGGTGCGTTGAGAGAAACCTAACCCTGTAAACACTCACCATCTTTATCTTTAAAAATCTCTCTTGGCATGAAAAAACTGTGTATATACAGTATATGTATATATATGTGTGTGTGTGTGTGTGTGTATAGTTAATATTTCTCTAACAACTGATTATCTTTCAGATTTAATATGATACATTTTTACTTAAATACAAACACATTTACTGAATTGTTCCACTGTAGTATTAATCATTCAAAAGATCCCATAGGGAAACCCTGTTCAATATGACAAATACATTTTTTATTGATTTACAATTGATTTTCTCAGAAGAAAAATTAACATTAACATCACCAATATTTACACTGTATTTCTTACTTCAATATCATCCAGGAGCTCCTTTTTCCTTCGCCGTATGTTCGACAGCTCATCTCTCTCCTCCAACGACAGGTCTTCAGGCACTGGGAAGTACAGAACCAGGAAAAAAAAGGAAGAGTTTGTGAGAGAGAGGGAGAGGACGACGGGCAGGGCTGCGAGAATGAATTAAAACCTTTTACTTCCCGATCTGTTCATCATCGTCACAGAGATTAAATGTAAGAGTGCATTCCTTTTCAATGACGGTCGATTAATCTTGACTTCAATTAAGAGCCTGACAGACAGAAGTGCTGTGTAATAATGAAAAATAAAAATCACCAATGAAAAAAAATGTGAAAGAGAGAGCAGTCACAGGTCGTGTTGTGTTCGTGGTCCCTGATCACCTGCATATCTGTCTGCAGCTTCTCTTTCCTGATGAGAAAAACACGGAGCAAGGAAAAACAACAAAAAGATCAAATCTCAACAGGAAGTGAGATTTTTACTGGCAGTTGAAAGTTAACAATCTGGAATATTTCACCTACTGTCATTGCCAACTCTGACACTGAACTCCACCAGGTGAATTTTACTGCTTCTATCAATTATAATCTGACAACAAAAATATATAATATAATATATATAATATTTTAAATAGCACCTTGTTACGCCTAGCCACTTTCACTGCTGTAGTAGTGAAGTAAATGTTCTTTGTTTTTTGGAAAGAGAACGAAAAACAAAATAATAAATGAACCATGAAGTGCACTGGTCGTTACACAGACTTTAAACACACACTGGCTGATAAAGGGATGATAACAGAGAAGCCAGGTGTGGGAGAAAGGCTTCTTGTGTTACAAGCAAATAATACACACACAGAAGCATCCTTGTAAAAAAAAAAAAAAAGCAGACAATGTCCATGAACAATGTAGTTTGTGTTTGACACACTAATACACATGCACAGAGACCACTGAGCATCTGCCAGGGTCCGCCCCCTCAAATATTGGCTCTCAGATAGTCAGCGCTCGTGAAGCCCTCGTTTGAGGTAATTAATGCTGCAGAAAGAGCGAGAGAGGGAAAGACAGAGAGAGAGAGAGAGAGAGAGAGAGCTCACATGTTATTACTGTGTGAAGAGTGTACTGTATACACAGATCAGTACACATGTGTAACAACAGACAATGAGTATATAGAAAATTCAGACATCACAGCAGAAAGGTATTTAATTCTGTACCAGAGGTGTGAACCCCCCCCCCCCAGAGTCCCCTACTTATCCATCATTTACTCCTGCCACGTGAACCTCTCCCCCAAGACCCTCTTTGAAGACCTCCCCCACTTTCCTACACATCAGGAAAAAAACAGTAATCTATGTGAGAGCGGGCTGACAGGAAGTAGGTCATTTAAACGCAGCGCTGCTACAGCACACTCTTAGCTCACTCTCTGTCCGCCTCCACATTGCAGTGAAATTTTGGGGTGAAAGCAGATTCAAGCTCTGCAACTCAGAAATTTTCCTCCTCTTCCCATGAGTGTTTGAAAAATGTGAGAAAGTTTTCTCCATTCGCTGCATTTCTCCTTCATTCTGATCCCTGTCCTTTGGCAAGTTCTGTTCTGTATATAAGCCTGTGACAGGAGTGTTGTGGATCATTAGGTCAGGATATTCTAGATAAATACAGATTAAGTTTACGCAGAAGAGGAGTCAGTCAGGAGAGCAGTGACCAGTCTGTTGGAGATTCTTCTTTGACTGTGGGAACATTGAACAGTCAGCACCAGATGACCTACGATCTCTATTGAGGCTAATAAAAAGAAGAAAACCAGAATAAAACATTTCCAAACTATCCTGACATTCCAGCATCCAAAGTGCTGCAGGAGCAGACACCAGGCTCAGCAGACATCTTCACACTCTCTGCAGACCCTGTTCTCTCTTCTTGGCTTCAGCCAAACTCTCTCATAAAGCAGTAATTGTGGAGCAGAGAGACCCCGCAGGCAACCTACGTCTGTAATGCGCAAAACACTCCGCCGTCCCTCCTCCTCGACTGAAGGAGCGCGGCTGGACTCCAGAATGGGACTAATTGTCCGAGGTGACAGATCAGTGTTTGGTGCATTGTGGGACACGCAGAGTGATCAGATATCACAGTGAGGGCCACTGCTGACTGGACATGGGCTGCATTATATGTTGGAGTTTGGGAATCTGTGTCTTTCCATAAGGGAAGGCGCTTATAGAGAACCAATCTATAGCATGAACAAAGACTTCGTTTTTAACCCCAGGTCCAGTGACAGATTACCGATGCAGTACCACTCTCTGCCTTTCCATGTGACTTAAAACAACTCTGTTACAGCTGTAATCGATACAACATTATAACAGCTTTTTATCTCCGGCTCATCCAGGATTCACCAACAAATACGAAGTACAAAGACAAGGATTAATCATATATTAACAATTACTGGAAAACTGTAATCTGGTTAACAGCATCTTTGGAGGTCGAGGAAATCATGGCCTTTTGTAATCCAGCGAGACAGATTGGACATCGACTGAGAGTATGTAACGGCGCATTGTCTCAGTGTTACTCCTCGAGATTCTCACCACATCAGACTTAATTTATGACAATGTTAACGGACAGAATGATATCTGCGGGGCTTCGACAGTATTTACATACTACAAACATTCTCATCCTGACACAAACCATGGATTCAGGCGACAAAGCATAAAAATCAACAAGCCTTTATGTTTCTGTAGCTCTTTATCCGCAGCATCTGTCTCTGCTTAGTGAAAACTGAAAAAATTATTACTGTCTCTGCTTAGTGAAAACTGAAAAAGAACAACTCTGGCGGCGCTCATCTTCACAGTTATTGATATCCACTACAGCTGTCACACTAGTTGCCATTTCCTGACACAATTACCCCTAATATTCCAGGCTTGGAACCAGAGCTGGGTGGCTGGGGGATGATCCGTAATTTGTGGTTAAGTGTCCTGCCTGGACAGATTTAGACAAAGAGTTTGATTTAAACACTCGTCTTCTGAATGGTCAACCAACTCCCACCAACCCTGCTGATCGACCACTGTGTAACTGTTTGACTTCATGTTTAAAGAAGAAGGTTATGTCCCAAATACATTGGTACAGGTTCAGTTCCAGACTAAATTCAGTTTGACTGGTTATCAATCTGGGATCTAAAATTGATGGTAGTAGGAAATGACTGCAATACAAAACATGATAATGGTTTCAAATTGTTAGTGACTGGTCGCCCAGTTCTAACTTGACTAACTTCTATAAACACAGCTCACTTTTTGGTGTAATTTAAAATCTTGTTAGACCTGGCATGTGATAAATTAAAAGAAAAGAAATTATTAACATGTTTCTCTATAAAGGTTTTGTGTCTAAAGCTAAGACGATTATGAATGTTAAATGTTGCCAACCAGTAATCAAATAATTCTCAAATGTAGTCACAGTTGGTTATTGACATCATTAGGAAGTGTTTGAAGTTGAGTCATAAGACTGTTGAAAACATCAGTGATGATTCTCTCTGCTCTAAATAGAAGGAGAAACTGATCACAAGCAAATGATTTGTGCCACAGGTTTCTGAGGTCTTTTAGACTTTGACAAAGCCCCTGAGTCCTGGTCTCATTAGATAAATACCAACAGGCAGTTGAAACTTGCAGAGATACCATATTAACCCATAGGTTAAATGTGAGTTTGCGCTCGTCCTTACACATTCTGTAAAGCCAATCAACTAATGGCTGAAAACCAAACAGGGTTTTGAATAATACATCACTGCCGTGCTTCTAAGTCAAGTCATTAAAGGCATCGTGGAAAGATACATCGGTCCACAAACAGCTCACTGTCTGATGAGTGTGTGTGTGTGTGTGCAGATCTTGATAGATAGATTGGTATCTGATTGTTCATGTGAGTGTCTGGTCTTTATCAGCAGATCACTAAGTTAGATGATTAAACGCCAGACGGTCACATGTTCCCAGGACTCCTGGCACCAACGCCAACAGAGCAGATCGACTTCTACATCAATTCCTCTGCTTAAAGTCCTGTTTGTACACTCAGACATTCTAAATGGAATTTTAATGCAGTTTAACTGAATACTAACTGTCATATTCCAAAAACAAACGAACAACCTTAAATCATAGCTTTTGTAAGGTTTTTATGGCTCTTCTCTAGTTTAAAAACCATGAAGAAGTTAACATCGTTTAAAAGGAAAAACTAACTACATTAAAATTAAAACTGGCGTAAAAACCACAGAATGTTAGCAAAAAGATTACATTTTTGTTTTCCAAAAAGCTACAACCTGTCATTAATATTAGCCAAGGTTTATGTGTTAATGAGTCATGACTTGAATATAACATTTTCTAAAACAGCCATTTTTAAATAAAGACAGGGACCAGGACAATGATAATCCAGACAATTGTATATAGTCGCATATAATGAATTCCAACAGTAGAAACTGAATGTAATCTAACACAGTGTAACCTTTACCACGACAGTTACAGAGAAACCAGTAAGCTGCACATTGGCCATTCAAACCAAAGTCAAACTATTCTGTGATCCCAGAGTGAACATTCCTCTCCAGTCATTGGTTCAACAAAGTCGGTGAAACAGTTCCTGTCTTTTACCAGTCTGAGTGGGACAATAGAAGGGATGTGTGCCATGATCAGAACAGGGGATTTCTGTAACAATAGCAACCACGCAAACAGCTCCTAGTTGCTCCGACCACAGACTAATTGCAGATCACCTACGTAAATGCCAAACACCAAGGCTGCTGCAAAAAACCCAGCAACTCTGCTGGGTTTAGACTGACGTAGGTTCACAGGTAAGAGTTGTCATGGCCGGTGACAAAAGCAGTTTAAAATACTACGTACCACAGGTTTTTCCCCTCTCTCTGGTTCCCATGATGACTGACATGCCATCGGCAGAGGCCTCGGCCTTTCTCTGATGGTTGGTCCTGGATGTGACTGTGTTCTGGTGGAGCTTCACAGTTTCTGTGGTGCGTGTTTCCTGCCCATGTACTGTAAGCTGCAATTGTGGCTGGTAGGTGTGTGGTAATTGTTTTTCCCCGCGGCAATACACCTACTCACAGCTCTCTATCATGCACAGACACACAGCAACATGCACAAAATAAACACACACACACACCAAGACTGTTCTGCCTATTGACAGATGACAGTAGTAGCATGAAATAGCCCACATTCCTCCTACTCAAACCACTCAGTCTGGTCAGACCGGCTCCATGCACCTCCTCAAGTCTCATCATTTCTGTTTACCAACTTATCTGAAATTCACACCAGTTTCCACTCATTGTTTTTTCAATACTCTGTCCTTTACCTCTTTCAAGGAAAACACATGATCTAAACATTAGGGCTGTCAATCAAAAGGTCAACCTTTCCTTCACAGAGTCTTAACTGCAGGTGTGAAAGTGATGATGGGAGGTTGGTCTGCGTTTTACATCACATCAGAAACACTGATGATCCAGGCAGAGAGTGTTTGCTTTAAATCCAGTCCACCGAAACTGGAGAAGACGCCATTTTCAAAAGCAATTTTAACTTCAGAAATGTGTCTTTAATGGACTTCGATTATCTTCAGTGTTGCAGCAGATGTGAGTTTGAATCCATGAAAGTAAACTCAGGGAATGTTCCTCAGTGATACCTGGTCTGTAACTACACATGGTAACGACCGATGAGACGAGAATTTACTGCTAAAATCCTCACCGTTTTAAATGTTACAATCATCCGAGAAGAGCAACAACATTTACATTCTGCCCACTCATTCTTCATCTACTGCATCTGAATTTTGTTTTAGTTCAATGTTAAACGACAAAATGTCAAATTCTGTAAAATAGATCTGCTCGCTCCATGTTCTATTTTTACAGAAAGTTATTTAAGGTTTACAGCCCCATCTGCTGTGACAATAAAATTAAATGTAAATTTGTTCAAAATTGTGGTCTATTTAAAAAATCGAATCACTTAGGATGCAGGTTTGTGAAGGGCGGGACTGAAACCAGTTTTACTCGTAAATGACAGTTAAGGTTGATAAACTAATTATTCGTGGGTATATTTTGTTGTCTACAGGCCTTTCTTTACTTTGCAAAGTAAACGAGTCTGTTTACATGACTGAGACGGTTAGTCGGACGATGAACTGGTTTATTTTGTTACCACTGCCCAGACAGTAAAAACACTGCCTAAATGAAAAATTACACACATAAGATAATTAGATAATGCCCCGAAGGAAATATTCTACATCCACCAGTCAGTCTGTCAGTTATTCATGAGAAACGACTGCATTTTGTCAAATTTCCTTCTCATTTTTTGTTCTTTTAAAATAGTCTGACTGACTCGTTTTGGGGGGCACTGTAGGTCATAACATTGCTTATTCCCACGTTTTCTTCTTCGTTCATTACTCAGAGACTCCCTACAGTCCTGTTACACCCTGGAAATAGCTGCCTCTTCAGCCTACAGTCTGATAGCAAGACTGTGAGGGGGAAGATTTTGCATGTGAGAGAAAAGAAACAGAGTGGAGGAGGCAAAACCGCAGACTGTTCATATTCAGACCCGGGCCTTAAAGTAGTGCAAAGATGGAACAGACAGACGAGAAGGGGAAAAAAGAGGTAGGACAAGGAAGAGATGCTCCAGCTGGGACTTCACTTCTCCTCAAGACATCAGGAAGTTGAAGAGGCGGATGAGGAGGAGGAGAAGAGAGGGGAAAAAAGTTAGTGTATATCAGACCTAAGACCTAAGCCAGGATTTCTTCAATACACTACATGTGGGTGGGGAGAGTCTGATCACCTAGCTTCAGCAGGTTTTAAAGAAAGGGTTTTTCCAGATGATGAGCATCTGCAAAAAATAGCAAATATCTGAAATTAATAGAGACTCCTTGGACTCAGTGTTACTTGTCAGAACACGGTACCACAGTATCAGTTACCCTGCACTTCCTGTTCACACATGATTATAAGGTGTTTTTAATCTTACACATCTTGAATGTCTCTCCCTCATCAAACTTAAACAGTTGCTTTCTTCTTCCTTCGAGGCGCTGGAAGATAGAGTGCTGGATAAGGTGTGTTTATCCAAGAAACTAAAAACACGTTTGACCTCCTGACAGCCCGCAGGCATCAACAGCATGACAACCACAGATGTCCAATAGGAGCTGCTGATGTTGTCAGCATCGGCGGCTGACACTTCCCTGGGGGAAACACAGTAATTAGCCATTATTGTTACAGTTTAGATGACTGACTGACTCCATATTTGAGGGAGTGTTCTTTGGCTTCTGGCCGTGGTACAAGAGCTACCTAAGAACCTTTGTCCAGGTTCTGTCTGGAGTGTATGGAGGAGCTGATGATGACAGAAATTCAACATGACGGAGGTGGAAGGAGGTCAACGAGAAGATTGAACGCACTTGTGACGGAAGCGAGAGGCTGCAAACCACTCACCTCCTGATAAACCCTGAGGGGCATTTGTATGTGTGTGTGTGTGTATCTGGTGTGTGTGTTACAAGTGTGTGTGTTTACAAGCCATACAAGATCATCTATCAAACCAAATGATCATCTGTGATGGCACTGACATTGATGTATCATGAGGTTCAAGTTGTTCGTGTGAAAATGTGCATTGGGAATACAGAGGTGTGTGTGTGTGTGTGTGTGTTTTAGTAAAAAGTCTATTAATTTGAGCCATTTTCTATATTTTGTACCGTCCTGAAAGGGTTAAAACAAACTCTGTTTGCAGTTTTAATATAATTATTTATATATTGTTATTTAGTAAAAGTAATTTTAAGTATTTAAGAAAGCTTTTACTTACTTATGGGATTCTCATTTCACAAGTACTCCCAGTAAAAAATATTTTAAAAAAGGATCAACCAAATATCAACAAGCAGCTTTTCCTACTTATTGTGGAGACTTTTGACCTCCGAATGTGCTCAAAAAATATAATAATATAATAAAAAAATGCACAATAACATGTTTGCATGTGTAGACACTATAAAAGCATTATGGATAAAAAAAAAAAAAAAAGTCTTCTGAAAAAAGCCCACATTTAAAGCAATTATTTCTCTGCCGTTGCAGAGCATGCTGGGTGCTGTCACTGTGACCAGTTCTGTCAGGGCTGTTCACTTCACTGTGCTGCTCACTGTGGCAACAATAGGCCTCGTGTGTCTGCAAACAATTAAACCATTTAAGGGTCAAAGAGAAGGAGAAGGGTTCAAAAAATGAGGAGCGGGGAGCCGAACACCCCGTTGACACTTTTATCATAAATCATGACATATTGTATCAAGAACACAGAAGGGGACAGGGCTCTCCTGTGTGTTTACGTCTTTCACGGCTACCGCTGAATATTGTGTCTACTGTACAGTATACTGTACGCGAGTCTGTGTCAGTTTTATAACACTACAGTGAGAAAAGTGACAGCGAGCTGCCAGAATCCCCCCTCCTGTAATCCATCATCCACATCGCCACACCACTTGATCTCCATTTGTCTACACTACGAGAGGGGGTTGCAGTTCACGGTAATCCACAGTGTGAGCATAAATGAACTCCATATAAAGAGATATGCTCATTGACGGTCACGTGTGCACGCATTTTCACAGGATGAGTGGAACAGTGGAAGCAGAGGAGAATGAGATCCACACAGCTGCACTGAGCCGTGCACCACTAACCTACTTTGAACATCTGACAGTACACAGAGCGACTGCAGCAGCTAACTCCCCACAGCTCTACGTTCCCTTTGAATCCGTGAATCCTTGGGTTCGTGTTTCTGCTTCTCACTCCTGAGCTCCGTACACAGAGTGACTTATTGTACACACATGTACATGTGTATATACACACTGACAGGATGCTCATGCAATCTCTCAGAAAATCAAGGAGGGAATGATGGGGAACATGGGAGGCAAAAAGAGCTCAGCTGTTTCAGCAGGTGTGCAGTCAGAGCACATCCTCTCTCCCTGTGAAGGAAGAATAAAGTTTACAACATGCAGCATCTTCAAGAAAAAAATACCAAGAGTGAGCAGGGGCTGGAAAAAGACAGAGCTACGGCAAAGACTGAAGATGTGCTGCGGTAGCTTCGTGACACGTTGACCCCCAGAGTGAGTCACACACAGTGTTACAAATCCCTTCTCAAAAGCCGAGCTGGCACTGAAGTGGCAGTGCCACGCGCCCCAGGAGGGGAAGCAGGAGGGCTCCAAGAGGCTGGATGCTGGCCAGATGCTTAATGGCCACACACACACACACACACACACACACACACACACAGAGCTGGAAAACAGTTAAGCAGAAAAATAAACCATTTGTTTGGAGAATACTGAGAGCTAAACACGAAGTCGACCCTGAGTTTTGTAAACTAAATATTTATTATATTGTCATGTCATTGTGGTTTCTGCTGCTTCTTAACTCACTTTCACTTTTAAACATCAGTAAAAACTGAGGGGGAGGGAGGTGAAGACAACTTCCTGTATAGTGCACACAGACTGCTAAAAAAAACCCACTAAACTCTTGTAGGTATGTCTTAATATTTGTCTCATGCAGCCAATGTCAACAGTCGCAGCTGCAGTATTAAGATTCCAAAAAAATGTTTGGTTAAGTACTTTCAGTGGCCACCAGGGTTAGAAAATGATAGTATAAATACTGACTATTTCTTAATCATGTGCATCAGTGGTGAGTTACCCATACAGTCAGTGAGTCTCTGGTACTCTGAGTCAGTGATTTGGCCTTTTCTGGAACTTTCTGGAACTGACACCATTGTCGATAAATAGGTATTAGATACAATTTCATCCAGGGCCTGATTTAAGGGACATGCATAACAAAGTTTGATCATCATTCAACCACCCACAGCCTGTATCCTCCTAATGCCAGTTTCAAGAGAGGAGAACTGGGGAGGGATGTGTGGGGAAAGTCATCCGGCGTATAAACTTCAACCAAATAACATATTCCAGTGTGAGGCGCCAGAGCATTTCAGGAGAGGCTCGAAATGAGGAAAAAATAAGCCAGAGGTTCTGTCCGAGCATGAACCATGAGTTTGGCAATACCAGGAAAAATGTGGCAGAAGTCATCAGGAACAACCTGAACATTTATTCCATCTCTGTGGCATAACGTCCATTCCATCCATTCCATCCTAGTGTTAAAAGAGAGAAGCTCACAGGGCAACAGCCAAAACCAAAAGTCAGTGCCAAGAAACAGTCCTCCCTTACAAGAAAAACTTCTGAGATGTCCTCCAGCACAGATAAACACTTAAAATAACATAATATGTTCTTCACATGGGAAATAAATCCTTATTTTCTGTGTTGGAACTCCATAGTAGGAGTGGGAAAATGTCTAAGCTAGCTAACATGCACAAAAAGGTTACAGGTTCAGAGAGAAAGGAGAAGGACTCTGCTGCCAGAAAAAAAAAAAAACACAATGAAAATGTTTTTTTCTTCTTAAAAGGAGGGCGCTGATGTTAAGCCATTGAAAAAAAGTGACTTAAACTAATTTTTCTGTGATGGTGACGCCATCAGACAGTAACGCTGTTCAGATCTGTTTCAGTGTAATTACTGCTTTTGTGTGACAGCCTAAAGATAATGAATAACAAAATCTAAAGCAGAAGTCTGGGTTCTGCCTGAATGGAAAGTCTGTATATAATATAGGTTCAATTAAGAGGAAAACCTGCTGAAAAACAAAAATGTCAACAAAAAAAAAAGTGTTCTCTAGAAGAAAAAAAATCTGCAGCACTGGAAAATATTGGGACTGTGTTGTGCTTCCATTATGTGAAGCACTGGATGTACTGGCAGCCAGAGGGGATACACCTTTTTCCTGCATCTTCACCAGGTCAAACAATCTCCGTGTTCTTATATAATTGTTCCAACCTCCCTCCTTTATTTCCCTCCCCCATTTCCTTCCTTTTCCAATGGATCTGAAACCCTCCCAACACCGCCACCATCTCACACGCCGCACAGTCTGAGAGCAGAGAGCCATGAACCCAAAGTCCCGCAAAGGCCCAAGTGGAGCAGGACGTTCTTTGCCCGAAATTCACTTCAGCACATGGCTTCAGACTCCTGAGACATTTGGCACGCTCTGGTTTCTCTTTCTTAAGAGGAGAAAAATTACTTGACATGCCTCACGTCTTCCCTCAATGAGTCCCTTGACGGTCCGAAGGCTACACAGACACAGCCGAATAATTTGTGAGTCTGTCAAGCAGTAGATCTGTACACTGGGCAGTCCCTTAGATGAGGTGGAAATTGGACACGCTCTTAAAAGGCAGCTGAACGTGTGCTCCCCAGCCTAAGAATTAAAATCTTGCCAGCAGTAATGTGAGAACTCTAAAAAGGTCCTTTCAACTTATACATTTCAAAGGCAAGAAAAAGGTCGGTCTTTACACACATAATTTGAAACGTAGCCCCCTAATAACACAAGCAAATTGTAGACCAAAGCAATCCCAAACCAAACTACTGTGTTACTGTTTTCAACCAATGAAGTGTAATGTAAGGTGCTCTCTGGGAGGCCTGACTCAACAAGGACCCTCTTTGTTGACTGCTTTACACAAGGAGCTCATGCATGCAGGCAGACTTTAGTCTGTACAGTAATGTTGCCCACACACACAGTGGACGGAGGTCAGCTTCATCACCACGCTGGGCTCAAAGTAACAACTCTACCTGTGTTATCACAACAAAGGGGCATGTTATTTGACCTCATTTGGTCTAAATCTGTGTAATATATCATATACTAATCTGTAACTTATCAATATAATTTCACCCTATTATCATTTATTCCCTATTTAATCCATTGATCTTGGTCAATGTCACTGTAGATTGATTCACAGTTATGATAACATTGAGTTAAAATTTTCTTGACATTTTTTCATATTAATAATTCCATTACATGGATTAGTCACTAATAAAAAACAGGCATGAAACAAATACATCTACCTGCTGGTATTTGTCTTTCTGCTCCAGCAGTATAAACAGTTATTTTTTAATTGTTGTTGGATTAATCACGAGTGATCCTAAAATTCTCTGTGATTAATTAGATTGAAATTTAAACTCAATTGATAGCACATGGCTCTTAATTAGAATATAATTAGCAAGGCTTGAGGCTTCACCCATCCTTCCTTGTAGCAAGCTGGGCTGGATTCAAGTCAAGTTTGCAGAGTTCTTTTTTCTGTACGCAGCATCCTGTCCCTGCATTGGCCCTTACTTTTGTTGAACCCTAATTTAATTCATAGTCACAGAAGCAGGTTCCCCGAGTGTCTGCTCCAGCCTCCTTGAGACTTGAGGAATTCATCCACAACCTTAAAACTAGAAGATACTCTGTCAGGCTAATTTATTTTATAGCATAATTCTCTGTTTTCCTCGGCGCTTGACAGCATGTGGGTCGAGGGGAGAAAAAAAACACAGAGGCGTCTTTTCTACTCCAATGACAAAAACAGAAATCCTCAACATAGCAGGAAGCTGCTGGTGCCGT